CCTCCGCCAACCTGGAGGCATGAGGGGTTATGCCCTCAGGGAGTGGAGCTGAATGGGTGCCAGGCCAGCCTGGCCCCCACCTTCTAGGCCAGGCAAAGAGGAGCGCCCCTGACCTGTGGCCTATGGTGTTTCCGGAAACTCTCTCAAACCGCAGCTAGAGGTCTTTCTCCCTGCGCAGTAAACAAGCTTCTTAAAGACGTTTTGTTGAATAATCTCCCGTAATTGTAGTAATTAAAATCATCATCCAGTCACCTTCGTTTGACACAACAGAGCCTTCCCTTGTTAATTGTTCACGTGTCTTCTTCAGCAGACGAGGGAGAGGGGCGCGGGAGGAGGTGGCGCAGCCAGGCCCCCTCCAGATCCAGCCGAGCTGATCCACTGGGAAAGGGGGCGCTGGGAAGTGGGAGGAGGCCCAAGGTTTTGAAGCTGGCCTGCTGCTTGGCCCAAGCGCCACCCCACAGTTCGGTCTCTCCAGGCTGCTGCTCGTCCCAGCCAGGCAGAGAAGAACTATGGCAATAGAACCATAGTAGTGCTCACGGGCAGGAAAGGAACGTCTGAGCAGGATGTCTGGAGCGTCCCATCACTCCCCCTTTAATTTCCAGAGTCTGTTCGGCCCCTGGGGGACCACCTCTTTTCTTGTCTCTCTCCCTGCCTCCCTCCTGCTCTTTTTCTTAACCAGAAGGAGAGCTTTCCCTCTAATCCCAAACCTTCCGTTCTTCCTGCCTCCAAGAGGCAGTCGTTCCGATGGAAAGAAAAGATTCGCCTCAGGGGCTTCCCTCCCCCCAAGCCACCTCTCTAGTTCCCCCTTCACCCCTTTTTATTATCTTGAGCGGTGAGGAAATCGAGAGGGAGCCTTCCCTCAACTACACTTTTGCATTTGTTCGTCCAGCTTGACTTGAGGGACTCTCTCCTTCTCGGAGCCGCCCTGGCGCATCCATGGCCAGTTTTGTGAAATAACTGAGACAGAGGGGAGAGCGTTGCTGCTTAAGGAGAAAAGGGGCGCAATTATTGGTGCAAATGATTGGGGGCCTCCCCCCCACCATCTGTTTGGTTGAAGGTGTGCTTGCTCCTTTTAGAAAGACTGGCACGGGCGCGCATCCGCCCACCCCCATCTCTGGAGGAACTCTTTCATCCTCGGGTTCTCGGGCATGTTAACAACTGCTCTTCAATCGATTGATTTGCAATAGCTACCCCCGCCTCGTTTGTGCGAAAAGAGCCGTTTCATCTGAAGGCTCTTGAATATAAACCCGCGTTGTTCCCCTCCTCCCTCAGCTCAATCATCTCTAATGAACCAATTGTTTCGAATTTCTACCTCCTGAAGGTTGCAACTTTCAGAGTCGCTGCAGATCGAAAGACGCAGGGAAAGGGGAATCTGGAAAAACCAAATTTGCTGAAAGAGAGCAGGGCCGATGTCTTTAATTAGTCCATTCTTCTTTATTAGTATTCATATTGAGATTTGTGGGAAGGAAGGGAAAAAAGAGAGTTGCATGTTGATTTAGCCACCGTGTTATTTGCGATGTAAATATATTCCGAGACAAAAAAAACCCGTCACGGATCAATTGTAAAGGACCCGGATACATAATTTTTAAAAAATCAGTTCAGTTTATATGAGGTTCTCACCCCACTTTCGCTTCTTAGTCAGATTTGTTTATGCAGAATCGACATTTAATAGTGCTAATTGCACTCCAGTTAAATTGCCCTGATTGCAGAAAGGGAAGCAATTTTCATGCTCTCTGTCTGGGTTTGGAAGAAATTGTTTTATATTCACCTCTTTATAAAGAAGTAGAGATAAGGCACCGAGCCTCTGCACAAATTGCACTTATGGGCTGACTGGCAGCATTCAGGCGCTATAATAGAGCATTATTTGGCCGTTTTGAATAATGTAAAGCGGCTGCTGAAAGCCATTCTCCTGAAAATTGCTTTAACTTTTAAAAGGGTGATGATTCACTCCAAACCAGGCCCTTTGTTACATTGTCAAACATTGTCCACCCCCCCCCCCCAATGTTTTAACAGTCAGCTCAACACTTCAACATAACACGCTGATCTTTGTTTAAAAACTAGATTTTTGGAGTATGAAGAAATCTGACAGAAAACGTTTGACCCCATCTTTGTTTAAAAACTAGATTTTTGGAGTATGAAGAAATCTGACAGAAAACGTTTGACCCCATCTTTGTTTAAAAACTAGATTTTTGGAGTATGAAGAAATCTGACAGAAAACGCTTGGCCCCCCCCCCCGAAAGATTTGGGAAAAGGCTTTCTCTTGTTCCTCCAACGCTGGGTGGCTTCTCTTCTTTTCAGGCAGGCGCCGCTGTTCCAGTTCTAGTTCATTTCACTCACTTTTACTTAAGGAGAATGGCCGGGTTAATAATTCGCGGAGTCGCCCGGCGTCCTGTGCGTTTCAAAACAAGGCGGACGAAAATGTAATGAAGTTCAGGGAAAAGTGTGGGTGCTTTTGTTGAGGCAAACGGGTGGCTAAATCGATGGGGGGGGTGCCCCCAGAGGTTCATTTAAAGCCAGTGAGTAAAAACTGTAACTGGACGGAACAAATATCTCACCTTCCTTACTCCGCTAGTCGGGCTGAAGAGGGTCTTCATATATCCCGTTATCCGCCCATCTCCTCCTCCTCCCCAGCTGCTCTCGGTTGGATTGGACGCCTTGGTGCCACTAAGCGCTCCCTTCTCTTAGCAAATGCAGTAGTGAGTTTTCTAGCGCTAGTCCGGAGAACTGGTGTTCCTCTCCACTAAAAGGAATGGAGGAGGGAGATTGTCACCTGTTGGGTGAAGGCTTCTGCCCGAGGTCCCATGGGACTCTCCCCTCCCCACTCCTTCACCGCGTTGTTGGATATCAGTAGCTACCCTACACACACACATGCTTGCCACACTTGCCGCTTGGCAGCCTTGCGAGAGATTTCACTGCTCAATTTTCTTTAAATTATGTTTTGCTCTTCGCTGCTCAGCCCTCTTCCTCCTCCACCTCCTCTTTCCCCCCACGTGCCCCACTGTCATTGCTAAGTGTAAAAATGATGGCGCACAGGTCTGGGGACAGCAAGAGGGACACGGATTCTCCTCCCCTCTATTCACAATTCAGCCATTTGTTGGTCTACTTCTCCAACC